AAGGTCAGATAAGGTGATGTTAGGGAAATAAACCCTAAGATATGTATTCAAATGTTTTTTCTTTCATGTGATTGTTTTTTAACACATTTATAAGATTATTTCTTTGTTGCTTTGTATGTCCCTCCCCCACAGTATAACCCCTGCTTTCACTGTATTTAATGTCGGTATAATATGTGGAGGGGAAGGGGAAAAACAAATCATTTAAATAGGGATACAGGTGGACCTATTGCAACAATGAGATGTACAAGTCGTTATGTCGAAAACGAACTTTACAACTTTGGTGTGTGTGTGGGGGAGCAGGGACGACTGGGTGGGGGGGCAGTTGGAGGATGGGAAGGGATGGGAAGGGGAAACAAAGGAGAAGGCAACAATGCTTGAGAAGAAATATACTCATTATCTTGCCCCTGTAATTGTAACCCCTCTGTACAGTATTTTCACAACAAAAAGATTTCCAGCAAAGTTTATTTTATGAAAAGTTTATGTTCTTAATATAGATTTAGTGAAGTATTATATAGCTAACATATTAGAAAACTCTAATATACTACAGGATCTGAAAACTACCACAATGTTTACTTAATGCTTCACCATGAATAGTTGCATATCCATAAATACAAGACAACATCAGAGAATCACTTTTCTTTTAGATACAGCTGTGGATTATTATTTGTATAGTAAAGGTTAGAAAATAGCACATCTTCCTAGAATTTTTTCCTACCAAGCTCTCTTTTTAGAGCCCCCTTAATCTCATTGTTCCTGAGGCTGTAGATGAGGGGGTTCAACATGGGAATCACCACCATGTAGAACACAGATATCACCTTATTCTGATCAGTGGAGTAGCTGGATTTGGGCATCACATAAATGAATGTAATGGTTCCATAGAACAGAGAAACTGCCGTGAGGTGGGAGGTGCAGGTGGAGAAGGCCTTGTGGCGGCCCTCAGTGGAGCGCATCGTTAGAATGGTGATAAAAATATAGATATAGGAGATGGTTATGACAACTACTGTGAAGACAACAATGAAGCCAGCAGTCAATGTAGAAAGAAATATGAGGACACTGTCTTCAGAACAGGCAACTTCCCGTAGGGGAGCAAAGTCACAGAAGAAATGATTGACTCTGTTGGGTCCACAGAAGCGAAATGAACAGAAGGAAATGGTAAAGGAGGAAGCATCAAAAAACCCACCAGTGTAAGCTACTATAATTAACTTGACACAGACTTGTGTGGACATTTTGGTTGAATAAAGCAGTGGGCTGCAGATGGCCACAAAGCGATCATAGGCCATGGAAGCCAGAAGAAAGCACTCAGCTGCCCCAAAGAAAACAACTGTACCCAGCTGAATGCCACATCCATGGTAGGAGATTACATTTTTGTCCATTAGGAAGTTAACCAACATGTTGGGAGTGACAGAAGATGAAAACACCATGTCCACAAAAGCTAAATGGCTGAGGAAAAAGTACATGGGGTGGTGGAGCTGAGTGGAGACTCTGATGAGAAGGATTGTGCAGAGATTTCCAGCTATGGTCACCAGGTAGATGCACAGGATGATGATGAAGAGGATGACTCGAAGGACTGGATCTTGTGTTAAGCCCAATAAAATGAACTCTGTCACTGTGGTATGGTTCCTATCTACAAGGGAATCCATCAGATAATGGAGCTCATCCCAAAACAAATCTAAGATAGAGTATATAAAAGTTTATAAGTGTAGTAATTTCAATTTCATTAACACATATAATATTGTGTACTTGAAACTGTGTATAAAGAAAAAGCCATTGAGGAAAAACTAAAATACAAAATAAATATGATTGTACAAAAGAAATTAGATTTTATCAGGCTATGGTATGTTTTATACAATATCTTTTTCTTTTTATCATTCCTTGCTTCCTTATTATAACCAGTGTGGAAATGAGTAATTTATCTTTTATGTCTCTACTTTTATATTTAAATTTTCTTCAATATATGTAATACATGACATTAAAGCCAAATAAAAATACTAGCCAGATGAATATAACCTCAAGGAAAAATGAGTGTACTTGAAGGAAATAAGGTATTCAAGCTGTTGCAAGGAAGGTTCAGGTAGAACTTCATATATTTGCATGCTTTCTAAATGGTAGGCATGCAGGTAAGTATTAGATCACAATTATCTGTAGGTACATACAGGGTTTATTGCATGTTCCAAAAATGATATGAAAATATTCATCATTTAGATCTGAGTTAGCAGAGTCTAGTGACGAGTATGTAACATGCCCATGGTTGCAGAGCAAGTGATAAATCCCAAATTTTCAGCCCAGAGGCTAGCTTACCAATTCCCTGCATTTTAATGAAATTAAGTTGTTGTAAAAAGCACTAACTCTATATATTTAGCCATAAATAGAAATTGTATTCATTTTATCTTCTTCAGGCTAACATTATAAAGTATCTCCTAGATTGTTTTACATTTCAAAATAGCTATCAGTTAAATAAAACTCTTTCTGAGAAGTACAAACTAGATACAAACTAGATAAAAATCCTAAATTAGCACTTTAATGAGGTTGCTCACTGCTTTGCAAACTGTTAGAATTGATAACATATTTTTGTTTTTGAAACAGAAAATAGTATATTTGTATATCCTTCGAATTACCATTGTAATCTCTGTAAATGGCACTTGACACTTACCTCAAATTAAAATTTATTCATTTAAATAAATCAGTTTTTACTCTAGGAGTAATTTCTATTTTTTTTGCACCAAGTCAAGGCATTTTGAACATAAAATATAGCTGTATACAGTATATAGAGAAAATTCCCAGGTTGATCCCATTTTTCCAAACCTTCTGTATGCTTATATAAACATATTCATAAACCCAAAGCAACCCAAATCTAAGCATTTTTGCAGAAATTTGAATAGTGCTAAAATGATCATGTGCATATCTTACTGTTTAGTAAACAAGAAATCCTGGTAATGAATTATAAGTAATTACTCACATGAAATTGATGGTATAAACAGAGCAAATCAGCCCAAATCACTCAGTAACTGATTGCTTGATTACATTTGTCATGTTTCTACATGTATGAACTGTGGACTTTATATGGAGAGTAAAGTTTGCATCAAATTAATGAATAAAATTCAATTTCTTACATCTTGAAAGGAAAACTCATCATCATTCTGTACTCTTGCAAAGTCATAGTGGTTATATTACCTTTTAAAATACTTTTGTTCTCCCTTGTGAAGAAATCCTGGATGAAGCTGGAGATTCAGCTATGAATTGGATGGTATCATGGAGTCTCATTAGATTCTGGCTTAGCTATTGAGCAAGCCAATTCACACAGCAACACAGCTGACTTTTCAAGATGCTACCAATTTACTGATGGACAATTCATTTGTTTCTAAGTGCTCATGTGCACACATCAAAACTTTAATCTTTACAAGAGAATTTAGTTAAATTAATTTTCTTATAGGTAAACATTTTTTCCAGGTTTACTTTGATATCTGTGATTAAGAAATGGTACTAAGGTGCTGGGAATGTAGCTTAGTGGTAGAATGCTTGCCTAGCATGCACAAAGCCCTAGGGTTGAGTCTTCAGGACCACATAAACAGAAAAATCAGAAGTGGGACTGTGGCCCAAGTGGTAGAGTGCTAGCCTAGAGCAAAAGCTCAGGGACAGTGCCCAGGCCCTGAGTTCAGGCCCCAGGACCGCCAAAAAAAAAAAGAAAGAAAGAAAAAAATGCACTCAGTTCCTCAAATGAACTAATGACATTAGCTTTAATCATCCAGGATGTGTCTACTGCTAAGGATTCTGTTTTGATACCTTCAACACCTGACCCTAAATACTATGCAGGCACATGAGATAGAAATACGTAAAATTCAATTTTAAATAATCAAAAATAGGACATATAATGTCATATAGAAAGTAGAAAGTAAATCTTTAAAATTTCTCTGAAGAACTATACACTTAAAAGATGTTCAGATAACTTCTTGAATAGTGTCAAAATATTGTCTTTAATATTTCCTTTTGATTCAGAACAGCAGAATGTTCACAATGCTCTCTTATGAATCCTCTGTATGTAGGATCTGCTGTATCTAAAATACTGTAACTCCACTGTTGAGAAGGTTTTAGAACACTATGACAATTAGAATCTCTATTCCTAAAGATTTCACTTTTTCCATATCCATATACCTAACATCAAACACGTATTTAATCCTCATAGCAATTTCATGAGGTAGGTTCATTTTCTTTTTTATGTATTTTATTGTAAAAATAGTGTTCAGGGGAATTATAGTTACATGAGTAAGGTAATGAGTACATTTTCTATTGAGCATGTTACCCCTCCTTTGTTTTTCCCCTACCATCCTTTCCCTCTCCACCTCTCCAACTCCTCCCACGCCAAGTTGTAAAGTTCATTTTCAACATAGTGTCTTGTACATCTCATTATTACAATGTATCCTTGTTTCAGTATTTTGTTCATTTTCTCTTTTGCACTCATTCTACCGAGGAGAAGGAAGAGTCAAAAGAGTTCAAACAACCTGTGAGGATGAGTTTCAGCTTCCGCTGTTATTTCCCTGGTTCCACTGCCATCTACTGAGGTCTCTCGCTCAACTTTCACTGAAGTCTTAGTTTGGCCGAGAAGCCACAGCAGAATGTTGAGTCCATAGGCAAGCAACTCCTACATATGGAAACTGTTCAGGTCCCTGAAGACAATCACAGATAATGGAGTTTGGAATTCAGTGCATGAACATTATTCCCTTTACTTTCAGATGGACCATGCTGAAAGATTAGCCCCCAGTGAGCCATATGACCCAGGAGAACTGAGCTGTTGCTGAAGTAGTCCAGCCAGGTAGATGGATATTATTTAGAGATAGGATCTCTTTTCTTGGAGGATTAAAGTAAATTTAAAATGCATATATCTGGTATTATATAAGGACACAACCCTTCTAATTCTTTTGAATAAGCAAACATCAAATAAAAACATAATTGATTTTTGATGTGTCTTTATAGCTAGTTATAAGATGTAATACAACAATATGATGAAGGTATTATGAAGAGAATGAACATTTTAGGTCCTGGGACATTTTGAAATAAGTCAGGCCCAGAGAAACAAAGGATACACATTTTTTACTTCTATGTGGAAACTAGATTTAGCTTATAAATTTATAAGTAAATGTATTGGGTAGTATACAAGTGTATATAAAGATCTTAACTGAAATAGGATAGATTCAAGGGAGAACTCGATTGTGTATATATACCACATTTTCTTTTTTAAAAAAATATTGTAAAGGTGATGTACAGGCATGTTACAATTCAGGTAATGAGTACATTTCCTTTTGAACATTATCACCCACTCTCTTGTACTCTCCTAGTTTTTCCCCTTCCATTTCTCCTCACCCCTGAGTTTATAGTTCATTTCTAACATAGTATCTAGTGAATATCATTGCTGAATTGGCTTACCCTTTGCCCCACTATTTCTGTGCTTCCCTTTCATTTTATATATAAGACAGAAGGTACAGAAATCAAATACAGTGGCAAAAGGGAATAAACCAAAGAAAAAAGGGGAAAAAGCACAAACAGTGCAATAAAAAAACTCTTGTTTCCATTTCTTGGAGTTTATTTTGATAAATATAATTTTATATGGTCAGATGCACATAGCTATTAAGCTCTTGTGGTCTAAGAAAATCCTCCTTTGGTCTCACTGTGTGAATGTTGAGAGTGCTATTTAATTAATCATGTCCAAGAGTAATTATTTATCTTTTACTATGCATTGGGTTTACTTGTAGATTTATAGGCACATTCTAATTATTACAAATAAGGAAAACCATGTTGCCTATGTTTCTTTGGGTCTGGCTTACTTCGCTTAGTATAATTTTTTTCAAGGTCTTTCTATTTCCTTATGAATGGAACAATGCCATTTTTTCTGATGGAAGCATAGAATTATATTATGTGTATTTTACTACAGTTAATATGCCACTATCAAGAAAACAATGGAATTCTATGCCTCCATCAGAAAGAATGACATTGCCCCATTTGTTAGGAAATGGAAAGACTTGGAAAAAATTATATTAAGTAAAGTAAGCCA